CGCCCTGCTTGGGGAGGGGGTGTGGCGGGGCTGCTTCTGCCTGGTGTCCTTCCCTCCTGTGGTGGGAGTCCGTCTCGGGGTCTCTCTGTGCAGTTGTCCCCATCATGGACCCAGCAGGGTAGGTACCGGCTGCCATTTGCCTCTCCTTTGGTTGAGGGGTATAAGGCTGGGTCCCCTGAGAGCCCCAGGGCCTGTCCCCAAGAATGCCCCTCCCAACACCACTGTCAGGAGTGGGGGAAGCAGGGTTGAGGGGAGGAGAGTTCAGATCAGCAGCCCTGAGTTTAGGCCTGTCTGGCTCAGGCAGTGGGAAGGGAGGAGCAGAGCAGATCAGGCCACCTCCTCCTTTCCTTCCTCTCCCCCCTCCATCCTGGGGTCTGCGGAGCATCAGGGAGGGGCCCAGGATGGGGTGAGGACTGTGGGGAGAGCCAGCAAGGGGCTGTCAGCCGCCTGCCCGCCCCAAGAGGCAGGTGGGACAGATGATGCGGCAGGGGCTGGCAACGGGGGCCCGGGGAGACGAGTTCATCACCGAGATGTGCCTCCCAAGTGCCCAGCGGCAGAAGCCGCTCTGCCTGCCATCCCTCATGCTGTCCTCGGGCTTCCTGGGGCCTTCTTAATGGCCCTGCCGCCCCACTGACAGGGCCATAAGCCGCATGATGGATGAGCATAGGGCTCAGCGCAAGTGGGAGCCCCATCTGCCTGCCCCACCTGGTCCTGGCCTGTGGCCGGGCCTTGACCCTCACACACCATCCCTCACGCTCCCCCAGGTCAGATGCAGAAGCCATTTGAAGATGCCTCCTTTGCACTGCGGACAGGGGAGATGAGCGGGCCCGTGTTCACGGATTCCGGCATCCACATCATCCTGCGCACGGAGTGAGGGGTGTGGGTGGCTCAGGCCTGGCCTGCAGGGTCGGGTGGGGCAGGACGGGGTGGCTGGGCCCACAGACTCTGCTCCCTGCTGTCACCTGGCCAACGGGTGCCCCTCCCTGCTGACGTCACAGTATTTATTGTTCCCAAAATGGCTGAGGGGAGCTCTTCACCATTGGGGGCTCCCTTTCTGCCCCCAGCTGGGGCTGTCCCTGCCAGACTCCTCTCCCCTTTAGGAATTGACTTCAGAAGGGCAGGTGGGTGGAGAGGCTCCTGGACTGAAGAGGTCAGGGTGACCTGTCCCAAAGAGAAGCCCTAGTCAGCTGAGCTGCCCCCTCTGTCTCTCCCCGCCACCCAGGTCCAAGATGGGGGCAGGACGGCCTTGTTTCTGGTTATGCTATGTTCCTCTATTCAACTGCAAAAAGCAAATGCTCCACATGGGGCCCAGGCTGCCCACGTCCTTGGGGCCCTCACTGAGGGTCATTGCAGCCCCCTTCGCACCCTTGATTAAACTTGGAACCACTACTCTGCTGTCCTGTGTCTCGTTCCCGCCCCACTGAGGCGAGGGGGGAGCTGTCAGGAGCAGTCGTCTTCCGCCGTCCGTCCCTAGCGCCCTCCGTATCCAGGCTGCATTTCCTCCCTGAGAAGCCTCCCTTCATCGTGGGCCCGGGGTGCGGTGGGGGGTCCAAGCAGGGAAGTGGGGCGCCAGTCAGTGTCCATGGTCCTCAAAGTTGGGTGTTTAAGAATGTTCTAGAATGCTAGGGCAATGCCCTGACATCACATCTCTGGATTCAGCGGGTCAGGGTGGATGGATGGACGGACGGACGGACGGACACACAGACACCCCCACCCACCCACCCCCTCTCCCCACCGGACGCCAGCCACTCCCAACTAGAACAAATTACACCCAGCACCCTGAGGCCTACTTTCCTGTTACCACAAATGCTTCTGGCAGGTTCTTCCTGGGTCCTGCCTCCTTCTCACATGCTGTTACCTTAGCAACAGGGGACCAGCCAGGAAGGGAGGGGGGCTACTTCCAGGTGCTTCTCAGAGTGGGGATCCTGCCCAGCCCTCTGGGGGAGGGAGGCCCTGTACTGGACCAAGGAGAAAGGGCTGTCTTGGAGCAGACGGGATGCCTGTGGCAGAGCCAGTCGAGGCACCTCCCGGGTGGCCTGTGGGTGTGGCCCACCCGCTTTCTGTCACCTCCTCACAGCTACCCCTGTGCCGGGGCCTGGGCTGGGGGCCCAGTTCAATCAAGGAGTTTATAGGCTTAGCCCACTCTGCCTCCCTCATTTAATGGGAACCATCCCAGATTGGTGGGGGGGAGGGTGGCAAGCTAGCAGGGCTTGGGGACCTGAGCAAAAGAAGCCCTGCCTGGCCCCATCCCAGGGGAGGCCCCTAAGGCTGTGTCTCATAAACAGTCACCTGGGCCAGCTCCCATCTGGCTGGTTTCTAGAGCAATCACACTCTGCTGCCTGCCGGAGTGTTTGTCGTTGAGAAGGTTTAATGGGCCTCGTCTCCACTCCGCAGGCTGGAGGGGGGCCGGCGGGCTGGCCGCACCTGCGGGCAGAACCTTCCATCAGCTGTGGGGGCCAGCAGGCAGGCAGCAGCACCCCCATCTGCACCAGCAGTGCTGTGGGGTCGGGAGCGATCCCACCCCTCCTGACCCCTGGAGCCTCTGGGAAGGAGCAGAAACGAAGGGGGTGGACAGGGGGCTGAGAAGCTGCTGGGGGCTGTTGTATGTTTTCCTGTGTGGGGTTGGCAGGAAAATGGTCTTTGTGGCATTCTCTGTCACTTTGGGCATGTGTGTGCCCAAGCATGCGTGGGGCCATGTGACTCTGTTATCCCTGGGTGTGTGTCCGGTGTGACACTAGGGAGACCCCCTGACCGGGTGCGACCGCCTACCCCCGTGGACCTGCTCCTCCCTTTGTCTAGCTGTGCAGCGGCCCAAACCCAAAGACAAAGAAATGCCGCCGTTAGCTAAACATGCCCCCGAGTCCATTCGGCATCAGCGTGATTCATGGTGAAGTGGCTCTGGCTTCCCTCACCTGCTCCACATCCCCACCCACCGCCTCCTGCCTGGAGGTGGGGTCGTAAATCCCAGGCCTTCTGGATGGTGACAGCCGTGCAGTCTTCCCTCCTGTCCCCTTGGTCTGGCATTTCCCAGGCCAGAATGCCTCGGGGCAGGGGGGCCGGGAGGGGGGTGGAGAGCGGTTTCCAACCTTATGCCATGTGCACCAGCCCAGGCTTCTGTGGCCACGCGGCAGGGCTGGGGTGGGTCACCTCCACTTGGGGTAACACCGGCACTGCCACGGGATGGCCTACGAAGTTTCTCACTAGCCAGGCACACGTCCATGAGGGAGCAAGTCAGAGGTGGTGGCAGGCAGCCTAAGGCGCACAAGGATCCTGGCCTGGGTTGGGAGTGGACGGGTATCCCTCGTGCCCATCCTTGGTTGGAACAAAAGCCACAAACGCAAAAGGGTAAGGAGCACTGGGCCTGCCTCCGTGTGTGAGAGAGGGACAGGGAGGTTAGGATGCCAGGCACTCTGGGCATTTGCTGGACGACCCGCGTGCAGAGGTGCCACGCACACCCACACCCAGCCCTGCGTTCTGTGCGTGTCTCCAGGGCTGGGTGGGTTTGGACAAAGATGGTGGAACTCAGCAGCCCTCTATCCCCGACCTTACTTTGGGAGTAGGAGAGACCAGTGAACTACTCTTCCACCCGCACCATGCTCTTTTGGGGGATTTGCCTGCAAATAAATACGGATAGGAGGGCTGGGCTGCAGAGGTCCTAAGTGGCCCCTAACTCTGTGCCCCCCAACTCTGTGCTCCCCCTTTTTTAAGCGGGTACAAAGTGCCTCAATGGGCTTATCTGGGAATCGGTTCTTTTTCAATGTCAAACTCGTTAATTTAAATGGAAATTAATTGCTTTTTTTGAAGATTTCTTTAAAAATTGGTTTTAAATGAGTGCATTAGGCAGTTACATTTATTATTCATTGGTTTCATTTGCAGTATGGCCCCTGTGTCCCACGTTCCCGGAGATGCCAGCCCAGAGCGGAGATGATTTAATCAGAGAGGCCATTAATTAGAGATGGGCGGGGGAGGGTAGCTTCCAGAAGAGCTGGTCTCGCTTCCTCCATGGTGTCAGTGGGGTGGGATCTAGGCCCCTGGGGTTCTTTACATAATATTCCTCCCCAGATTGAGTGGGGGCTGTGTGGTGGGGCCAACGTGGGCGTGGCGGTCAACACTACCTCTGTTCCCAGCCACCAGCCCCAGAGGTGACTCTCCCCACTCTTGCAGTCTGTCTCACCTTGGCCACCAGGGATCTGGCTAAAATAAGGCCCTCATCTGTTCTTCCCCTTCTGTGCCCCCCACTCCCCACCTTAGTCACATCACCAAGGCTCCTGAGGAATTGGCCTCTGCTTCTCCAGCCTCTTTCCGGCTCCCTCGCGCTCCTTCCTGCCTCCCATACTTCTAGCGTGGCCGGTTCTTCACCTCCAGGAGCTGCGGTCTTCGTGTTGGGGCCCATCTCTGCCCAAGCCCCTTCCAGTGAATGGGCTCTAGGCGTGGGGTGAGGGTGTGTTCAGCTGAAGGCACCCAGTGCCCCCTTCAGGCTGTTTCTACCTTTTTAGTAGTGAACTTAGAACAGGTGCGACTCATGTAAAATGATTTTGAAATTACAAAGCAAAAAGAGAAAAGGAAAAATATTGTGCCCTACTCTCTCATACCCAAATTCTTAAAAGCAGCCAAGTGTTTAAAAAAAATTTTTTTTTAAAGGTGCCAGATGGTTCAGTGATGCACCAGCGTGATCAATGAGTGAGAAACCAGTGATGGAGAATATTCATTGAAGGCCTGTTTTCATTGTTGTGATAGAATTCTCCGCTGTTTGGATCAAATTGCCTTCAAATTGTTTTCAAACAAAACAACTTTGGCTTGGTAGGTGCCTCACCTGTCTTCCCAAAGGGCTCGCCCTGCCATGCAGCCCACCTGGCCCCCAGGCTGGGCTTGTCTGCCCCCAGTGCCCACAGCTTGTGGCCTGGGACAAAGGGGGCCCAGCCAGGATGGGTCTCCAGGCTCACACTTAGCTTCCACCTTGCCTCCTCTGCCCCACTGGGACACACAGAGCAACCAAAGCATCAAATGTCAAAGGTCCCGTTTATTCCAGCAACCTGGAAAGAAAGAGTGTAAATAAAAAAAGAAACCGATCCATGCACTCAACTCCTTGAAGGGCAGGAGGGGGCTTGGAGGGAGGGCCTGGGGAGATGGGTGGGAAGCAAGGAGGGAGGGGAAGGAGAGAAGAGAGACTGAGTGGCAGACAGGGAAAGAACTGGAGAGTCAGATCCATGAAAAGAAAGAGACAGAGGGACATCAATAAAAAGGCCGAAAGAGTGAAGTATCAAAATCAGAGACCAACAGAGGAGAAAAGACAGAGAATGCACTAGTAGAAATACAGGGGCAGAGAAGGATAGCCCGGCAAAAAGGGAGGGAGAGAAAAAAATGGAGAGGAGAGGGGAGAAAGGGCCGGACAGAGAGACAGAAAGCTAAAGGGACCCGGGCGGGCGGAGTCGAAGGGCCCCCCGCCCCGCCCCCCGCGGCCCTCGGGCGGCAGCCTGAGCTCCCGCGGCCGCTAGGGGTCCCCCGCGGTGCTGATGACGTGGAAGAGGGTGACATTGTAGAGCACCTGGTGGCCGTTGTTCCAGGTGTAGAGGGCCCGCTCCCGGGGGTTGTAATCCAGCATGGAGATGTGGGAGTACTGGTTGTGGAAGGGCACGTCCGTGTACTCGTAACTGGACGTGTTGGTGAAGTAGGCGAAGTAGACCTTGGCCCCGGCCAGGTGCGAGTTGGTCACGTAGAGCACGCCGCAGATCATGAAGGCCTCCCCCGCGCTGCGCTTCGGGTAGCCGGTGTCCCAGGAGCGCACGACCTCGAGGGTGTGCGGGTCCAGCCGGCTGACCACGATGTTGCCCGCGTTCTGGTTGGTGGTGTACACGGCCCAGAGCCCGCTCTCGTCCACCATGAAGTCCATGTCCGAGAAGCCGCCCCAGGAGTAGGGGAAGGTGTTGTTGTAGCCGGCCCCCGGGAGGCTCCTCTGCACCAGCACGGAGCGCGAGCGGAAGTGGTACTTGACTACCACGTTGCTCTGGTACTTGTTGTAGAACAGGGAGCCGTTGTACACCACGTGGCCGGTGCCTGCCCACGGCTGAGGCAGCAGGTGCTGGATAAAGTTCTGGCCCTTGATGAAGTCCCCCAGAGTGCGGAACTCCAGGACCCGCCGGCCCTTGTAATAGCCATCCATGTACCAGACCTACGAGAGAGCCGCGCGTCGCTGCCCAGCCGCCCGCCGCCACCCAAAGGCCCCAGCAACCGCCCAGGAATCACCCGTGGTCATTAGGGATCCACAGTCACTTAGTGGTCATGAGTCAGTCCGGATGTCCAGTGACCATTCGTGACCAGTCATAGTCCCATTAATGGGATCATTTGATCAGGAAACACCATGGGTCTGAAAACAGATACTTGCTACCTAAGGATCAGGGCATATTGCGGTCCCTGGTGGACTCCCGGGGCCCAGGAATTCACCACTCATTGGAGATGGGATGGTTAGCGGTCACTGGACAGCCCTGGGGTGACGAGGTCACTTGAATTCACCCCTGTAGCCACAAGATGACCCGGCCTGTCAGCAGCGTCTCCTCTACGGTCACCACCTACTGTCGCCATGTCAGTCAGCAGGGGTGCGTGCTTCACTAGCGCTGGTTACTGGGCCAAGCATCTTGAAAACTTTCATGCCAACATTATCACGACCATTTTGAAGATAAGGAAATTGAGGATCAGAGCCATTAAGGAACCTGCCCAAGGGGCACCTGGGTGGCTCAGTCGTTAAGCGTCTGACCTTCGGCTCAGGTCATGGTCCCAGGGTCCTGGGATCGAGCCCCTCATCGGGCTCCCTGCTCAGCAGGGAGCCTGCTTCTCCCTCTCCCACTCCCCCTGCTTGTGTTCCCTCTCTCACTGTGTCTCTCTCTGTCAAATAAATAAAATCTTAAAAAAAAAAAAAAAAAGGAACCTGCCCAAGCTTCTCTAGCTAAGAATTTGGTGGCAGCCAGATGCAAATCCAAGTCTGATTCCCAAACCCAAGCTCTTCACCACTTGGTTGAACCCCCATAATCCCTGGGAGGCCAGTGATCATAGTGAGACAATGGCTATTTACTACCTCTAGTCTGTGACACTCAGTGGCCACCTAGTGACCGATATCAGTCACTAGGATAGTCACTGGGCAGTTAGTGGATGGTTCCTGTGGGTCAGAGGTGATGGACAATCGTGACCGTGGAGACCACTGGAAGTCCAAAGGGTCAACAGACTTGGCTCTTCTCAGGGCTGGAAAGTCCTCGGTCACCTGGGGTTACTAGACAGTCGAGGGGAGGGCCAAGGGCTCTGGAGATCCTAGGACACTTCAGGCTACAAGAGAGGCACTGGTGTGGAATTGCTGGGCGCCTGTGGGCAGCCACAGGCTGTCTCCCCCAGGCTCTGACCCCTGGGGTGGGCACAGTCACTCACCCGGGTATCCGCACTGGGGGCCATCGTGTCGGTCATCCAGGAGCCGAAGCGGGACCCCATGGCCCGAATGGTGATGGGGTTACTGACCCCAGTCAGCTTCCCACAGCCTGGGAGGCAGGAAGAGGGTAGATAAGGGTGGAGGATGGGAAGAGCCCGAGCGAGACTGGGCAAGGATGACGTGGTGTGATCAGACTGGGACGAGCTGGGACCAGGGGTGAGGCAGGATCCAGAAATCCAATCCCAAGATGGAGTTAAGTTGAAGGTAAGGGGACTGGGAGTCAAGCGTCAGGGGCATTTCCAGTTTTGGGGTCTATTTTAGGCCTTGGGTAGAGAAGTCAAAGGTCAAAGTTTAGAAGTTAGAGGTCAAAACCATGCCCAGCTTCTGGGCACATAGGTGGTATTAGGGTTGGGTGTGGAGGTCAGGGGTCAAAGTCAAGGGTCAAGGCATACCCAGCTTCTGGGCGCAGGCATGGAGCCGGGCCTCCAGGGCCATCACCCGCTGCTGCAGGTCCTCGTATCCGTAGGCGCCCATCTCCTCCTGGATGGCTGCAAGGCTGCTGGAGAGATTCCTCACCTCCTCCCGCAGGTGCAGGATGGTGCGAGTGTCCGCCTTGTACTGCTCCAGGACTGAGCTCAAGGGCAACAGCTCCGACATCCTGTCCTTCAGCTCCTGTCCACCAAGATGGAACCTTCACTGATCCTAACCCCTGACCTTTGACCCAGGCCTGACCCCAGGCTTGGACCCATAGCTTCACCCCCTTATCTCTGATGCACACCTGGCCCTTGACATTTGGTCCATACTAGACCCTGGAACCCAGCCTACCCTTGGTCCTTCCCAGACATGACCCCACTCTCAGAACTAACGGACGCCGATCCCAACTGTACCCTTGGCCTCTGACCTGACTCAGAGGGACCCACCTGGAAGCTCTTGGCCGAGAGGGACCCATCAGCCGCCCGGAGTCGTGCGTCCAGGCTTCGCATGAGGGTCTCCATGCTGCGCACGTACTGGAGGTCACGGTACGTCCGCAACTCAAGGACCTCCATGGACTGGGAGACGTTCTGGACCTAGGAGCTTGGGAGGGTTAGGGAGAGCCAGACTCCTGCCCTCCCCAAGCCCTGAGATGTCACAGATGAGGCCTGGCGGAGCCGGAGGCCAGCACCCAACCAACCTGCTCCCCTGATCTTACCAGCAACCTCCCTGCCCGGTCTGGCCACTACCACCTCTCACCTCCCACCCCTTCTTCCCGGGTCTCCAGGCTTGCCCCCTTGCCCCGCCCCGCAGTCAGTTCTTCATACAGCCGCCAGAGGGAGCTTTTCAAAAGGAAGACCCTGCGGCCGGTCCTGCCCCCTCTCCATGTTCAGCCACTGCGACCACAAGCCCCCTTTCCTCTCACAGACTCTAAGCTCCTTCCCGCCTCAGAGCCTTTCCACCTGCCGAACCCTCTACCGGGAGCGCTGTTCCCCTCGTCCTGCTATGCTGGCTCCCTCACCCTTCAGGCCTCACCTCCAGCATCACCTTCTCAGAGTGGCCTTCCCTGAGCCCCTGCCTCCAGTAGCCCTCCATCCTCTCTCCCTTACGTGGTTATGTTCTTCCCAGCTACAGCTACTACCTGGAACATTCTTATTCATCTGCCTCCTTCAGGTGAGATCCTCACAGGCAGACCCAGTGTCTAACTTGTCCACAGTGAAATCCCCAGTGCCCAGCACTGGCCTAAACTAGATGCTCAGTAAGTGCTTTTCAGCTACATGAATGAACTGAATTCCCTTGCCCTAGCCTCTTCTAACCCAGAATGAGGACCCCCCTGGTTCCCACTTCCACCTTCCTAAGGTGAGCTCCACCTGGTTAAGGTAAACTCAGAGACAGCACTGGGTGCTTGTGGAAACACACAGATTTTCCTGAACCCCTGTTCACACGACACTTGGAAGTTCTCAGAAACCCAACAGCCCAACACCCACCCTGGATGCCACAACATATTTTTATAGCCATTCTCAACAATCAGGGGACCCCATGTGGATGTCCCAAACTGGCAAAGCAGTGCTGGTGTTGTGGGCAGGGCAGGATCCTGCAGAGTTCATGGGTGGGAGAGTCCAGGGCTGACCGGGATCTCTCCTGTTCTCACCAATCCCTCAACTTCCTCTTCTATAGGATAATGATGGTTAGCTGGTCCCTTTAGCTGACTAATGAGCAGTTCAGCTGGATAGTGTCAAGGGACAGCAATCAGTCTATAAAGGGCATCAAAACATCCCTGAGGATGGGGACTGTTCTATATCGACCATCGTCAGAGGAGGATAGAATCTTGTATGTGTCTTGGGTTGGAGGGTGAGACCCCTCCCCAAGGGACAGAAGACATTTTTCTCAGCAGGTGAGTCTGGTGAGCTAAAGAGCTGAGTAGGGCATGCATGGTGGGGCCAGAGATCATACACAGGAGACTCAGATGCTGCCTCCCTGTCCCCACACAACGCTCAGCTTCTCCAAAGAAGCACTGAACAGATATTGACTAAAATATCCACCTGGAGGGGAGCCAGGTTATCCATCAGCTCTGGTGGATATATGGCTATATCTGGCCCCCAGCTGGCCTGGATGGGCCGAAGGCAGGGTGGAAATTGGGAGATTTTCACAGTCTTCCTGGGGCACCTGGAAGGTTCTTACCTTCTCCATCAGCTGCCGCAACTCCCGGCTCCGGCCATCGCGGGAGCAGGTGCTCTGTGCCGGGATCACAGCTGTGCAGATGCATTTCCCGTCGGGGGCCTGGGCTGAGGTGTACAGCTGCCAGCCTTCCTCTGGGCTTTGGAAGAGGGTCTGCAGGGAAGACAGGGGTCAGAGAGCAGGAACCCAGTGGGGGATTCACCCTGCCCATGATGGGGGAGAAAGAAGACCCAGGGAAATGACAGATGCCCTGGAATGTGCTGGACCATGTGCTGAATGCCTGATGCATGTAATCTCAATCCCTCCTCAAGGAAACCCATTTTTCTGATGATGAGACTGAGGTATGGGGGGATTAAGGAACATGGCAAGGAATTGTGGGATTCAAGCCCTTCCACAAGACAGGAATTTAGTCTCTCATGCATGTTCACATACACACATTGCCTCCATGTGTACAAGTGGGCACAGACCCACTTGTACTGATCCCCAAACCTGAACCTCCCTCTCTGCTTTCCCAGCCCACTGTGAAACATGGACTCTGGCTATACCCCAAGAGCCACTAAGTGCAACCCTACTGTTGTCATCTCCCACCCCACCCCTGCTCCTGAGAAGCCCAGGTAAGGTAATGGCCAAAGGGTGACAGAATCCTCATAGGGACTTCCAGGCCCTTGAAAAGAAAGCATCACTGCACACTCCTAAATTTAACTTCAGGTCAGTTTATGATGCTTAGGTAATTCAGGGATCAGTCATGGCTGTTTCCCAAGCCATCTCCTTGAAACACTGGCAATCTTTCCAGGCATGCTTGGTGATCAAAGAAATTTGTGCATTGTTGGGTGAAACAAGTTCCTTTGATGCAGGACTTATCAGAGCCCTTGAAATGCTAACGTGCATCAAGAAACTCCAAAATTTTCTACACTTATTAGAAAATATGAGTGCCCGTTTTGTGCCTGGCACAGGGTCTGGGATAGGGCTAGGAAGAGAGAGGTGAAGAAAACATCTGGCTGCTGCCCATGAATGGAGGAGACAGACATCAAACACGTAACTCCACTGATACTTCTAGAACTATTCATTGCAGTGAATGCTCCAAAGAAAGTGCAAGGAGTAACAGGGGTTCTTCCTCAGGCTGGGGATTTCAGAGGAGGTACCCCAGAGAAAAGACATTGAAGTTGAACTTGAGGGATGAGTGCCAGGAGAAGGGCATAGGGGAGGGGACACTTGACAGCACAAATTCAAATCAATATCTGGAGGTATTTGAGAAACATTGTTCAAAAAGCATTGAATAATCACCGGATAGAACATGGTGGGCCCCCAGATTAGGCCCCCTTGAGCTCCCCCAGGACATACTGGACTTAGTCACAACTCTCAGTCTTTTTTTTTATCAGGGCATGATGGTCTCCTTTGTTCAGGAAATATTTGGTAAGCTCCTACTGTGTGTCAGGCTCTATTGTGGACATTGAAAACACAGCAGTAAATAAAATGTGCAAACACAAAAGCTCTTCTAGGAGCTTATGTTAGACAAAGACAGAAATAGACAAGTAAATGCCAAATATTTAAAGGGTGATGAGTGCCATAGAGATAAGTAATATAGGGAAGGAATGATGGCAGGGGGTTGCTGTGGTTGGGGGTTGCAATTTTAAGGTGGCCTGGGAGGGCCTCCAAGAAAGTGTCATTTGAGTCAAGACCTGAAGAAGGTGAGGGATGAGCCATGCAGATATCTGGGGATGTTCCAGGCAGAGATAAAAGCAGGTGCAAAGGCCCTGAGGCAGTACCATGCCTGGTATGTTTAGGAAACATGGAGAAGGCTGGCATGGGTGGAGCAGAGTGAGAAAGGTGGTGGGGTGGGGGATGAGGGCAGGGAGGGGACAGGACAGCATGTTCAGGACCTGTGGGCTGTAGGAAGGACTTTGGTTATTCCTGAGGGAGGTGGGAGCCACAGAGGGTTCTGAACAAGGAGGGAGGTCACCAGACACAGGCGCCCTCTGGTGGCTGTGGGAGGGACAGACTGGGGAGCAAGGACAGAAGACCAGGGCAGATGAGACTGCATAGGTCCAGGTGAACAGGCTGGGTGGTGGCCGTGGAGGTGGACAATGGAAGATTCTGGACCTAACCAAGATGTGTTCCTACATACCTGGAAGAAATTCTGATAAAACCCAAGTGTTTTACAGAGAAACAAAGCCCCACAATAATTGTTCATTTGGACAGCTGTTAACTGATCACCCTACCGAAGCTGTTCCCATGAGCCATAGCAGAGATAAGCCAGGCTGTGAGTTACGAGCAATCCTGGAGATGCCAGCTATTAGCCCACCATTTTTCTCTCCCAATCAATAAAGTCTTCTTTTTTTTTTTAAGCTTATTGTAATGTGAGCAAGTGATATAATTGTACAGATGAGCTTGACTCCTCCACTAATTTATAAGAAAAACAAACCATTCATATATGCCACCTGAAATTATTGTAATTAGTCATTCTTTGTGCCTTATGTTCACCCTTTTGAAGTTGGGGGATCCCCCTTTTTACCAGTCCACGTCTCCTCCATGGAGCAATGAACTTACCCACCTTGCCAGCCTTTCTTGCATGCAGGTACAATTCAGGTAGAGCCAACAGTCATGGCTCCCCAGGCCTTCAGTGAAGAAGCATCCAGGATCCCCCCCCGCCCCGCCAAAGCCCACTCTGCCTTTGCACTGGGCAGGCAGCAGAAGCCCCCTCCACCCCCACCCCCACCCCAGCAGTCCTCGACGGTGCCACATAGGAGTTAGTGATAGATATCAGTAGCCCTCTCACCTCTCCAGTAGGAGTGCTCTGAGGGGCATGCTGCAGACAGTTCTCCAGGGGAACCCACTGGGATCTTTGCTCCAGGTGCCCACGGCGGCGCCCTGCTCCTTAGCTCACCCTGCATGGGAGTCCTTCACTTCCCCTACCGGTTCCTGGTGGTATCACCTCCCAGGTGAATACTCACACTCAACTCCCCACCAGCTCTGCTTCTGAGGGAGTCCCACCTAAGACAAGAAGGGGGGACCCAAGAATGCCTTCCACCTTGATTCCAGGAGAATGTGAGACTAGTTTTGTCTCCTTTCATGACAAATCCGGTTTTTTAAAACAAAAAAAACTTGAGTCTAAGCACCCCCATCCATGTCCCCCTGGCTCTGATCTCCAAGCAATTTGGACAGAACACACCCCCCCCACACCTCCGAAAATTCTCATTTGTGCAGAGACAATGCAGCCCAGTTCAACATAATTAACATCTCCTTTCTACAATTCCTAGTGTGTCCTTTGAAGCAAACAAGCCATTTTCTCTCAACACGCAAAATACTGAATTGTAAAAGAGAAGCAAGATTTAAGTGGCAAGGAGAGAAGGCCTCCACGGCTTTCCTAAAATAATTGTCTGCGTTGGACGCACCTCGCTGAAGTGTTCTCTGCAGCAGTGTAATTAAATGCCTGGGGCTTGGCTGCCAAATCTCAGCACAGCAGAGATCCCGAGTTTTGCCTGGCAGGTTCAAGTTCAAATCCGCAGTCAAGTTCATGTCCCCGGGAACCACTGGAAATGTCCTGGAAGGCTCACTGTTGGAGAGTGAAAATGCCAGCTCTCTAACTGGGTTTAGCTTGGAAACTCGGTCATGAACTCTTGGAGGTCCCAGTCTGAGGGATAGAGAAGGGCCTATCCTAAGAAAAATGCTTATGACAGCAGGTATGAGAGCGCAGGAACTGTCCAGGTACAGAAACCTGCGATCAGGTGGCCGGTCTCACCTCAGATGTGGCAAATGTGCTGGAGAAGCTAGCTGCTTTCTTGGCTGAGCTGCTGGTTCTGGAGTTTAATATTCCTGCTAATGAGCTCTAAGCGGGGAAGCTATGTGCTCAAGTAGCTGTTTCTCAAATCGTCTTTTCTGGCTGGGATTTTTTTCAAATATTTTCACTGAGGATGCTGCCCCAATTAAGCAGCAGTCCCCGTTAACAGGTCCAGGATTGACACGCAGGAAAAATTTTTCTCACTGTCACACCCAGGATCAATCATCTCAGCCTACATCTGCCACCTACATCTCGGTTCCAACACAATTCCTTGTTCCCCCAGGGGTGAAGGGACGGCTACGGGATCTTGTGGCAGCCATCCATGGAGAACTGGCTATCGGGGGTTAGCCAGCAGGAAGAGAGCGAGCAGCTGCCTCTTAATAAGACAAGGATATTATTGCATTTGAGGCCAGATAATTTAATCAGGAGGCAGAAGTGGCTTGCGGCTTATATATTTATTTGTACCCTGCCTTGTTCCAGAGGACTCCAAGCGATTTACAAGGATATTTGTAAACTACCACATGATAGTTCCAATTAGATAGGAGAGTAGGAATTCGATGTTTCTGGAGGGCAGTCTGCCAATCCGGAGCCAAAGCCTCAAGATTTCTTCATTTGCATTTAACCCAGTCAATCCCAGGGGAAGAATTTAGCCCAGAGGAATCGTGCGGACAAGCACTTGATCGCTACAAGGATGCACATTAAAGGGCTGTTTCAAATTGGACCACTGGAATGAACCCCCTCCAGTTGCTCGACAGTAGGGGGCTTGATTTCAAAACTTAAGGCACATGCATAGGAGGGAATACTATGCAGCCAAGAAAATTAGAGTTTAGTGGGGATTTTTATTGTCATCTTCAGATTGGTCTAATCTTCTAAATTTCTCAATCTTTTAATTTTTTTTTCTTTTGCAAGGGAGACAAGGAAGAAAGGGAAAAGTGGGGACATAGAGCCAGAAATTAGGCTAAGAAAAACTCATCCTTTTAAAACCCGAACAACCAGCATATGGTCAGGCCATAAATTTGGCTCCAAGTTCCTTAGCAGCCAACTCAAAAAGGAAAAGCTGGTCATTTATGCGGTTCCCAGTGTCCTGAAACAAAAGCACAGCAGATGCTCAGGAGCAAGCTTAACTATTTTCAGTATCGAGAACAGGCAAGGATCTCTCCCACGATCCTCCCAAAAAGGAGTCCCTGTGACGTCACCAGCATCTTTCCCGGCAACATTCTTACACTGGGGAAGGGGGGTGTGTGGGCAAAATAGGTGAAGGGGATTAAGAGGCACAAACTTCCAGTTATAAAATAAATAAGTCACGGGGATGAAAAGCAGAGCATAGGGAATGTAGTCGATCTATTGTAACAACATCGTATGGGGGACAGATGGT